AAAGGAGGAGCAGCAAGCCAGGGAGAGGGGAAGGCTGAGGTTAACACTGCTTCTGATAGATTTTCTTCTAATTTTTACATGGATTGGTTTATCCCATGATTCAAATAAAGAATGTGGGATTTGAGTCTGAAATACAGGAAATTGTTTTACATAGGCTTTCTCACAATCTGTTGGTCAGTGAAAGTAAAAATGTGCCATGTACAAATGAGAAATTTCTTTAGGTTACATACTGCTCTGAATTATTCAATCACTGTAATATTGTCACACTTAGAAAATGGTGCGTTAGTAAAATATTCATGTTTTGTACTGGAGGAATCAAATACAGATTCTCTGTAGACAGATCTATTAGGCGTTATTTACCAGTTTCTGCATAACTAGGAGTATGTCTACACAGAAGTCCAGACTTTTGTCTAACAGGCTTGCTATGGAAAACTGTTTTGTAGGGCTTTAGAAAGGCCTCAAGGTGAAATTCTGAGAAATCAGGGAATCTAATTTCAAGCTTGCCAGAAATCATGTGTTCATTGTGTTTTTAAAGAACGCTTCTTAACAGAGGTTTTAAGATCACAGCACTGGAAACTGTTGTTTTTTCCACATCTTGGTTATCCTGCGTAGACTTCAGACTGCTTCATTGCAAAATAAGGTTTTGCTGTTGTTTCATAAGAGCCTGAAAAGAAGTCTCAACTCCAGTAAATTCTGCTGGGTGACACTGTTAATGATGAGTGTGCTTGTGTGTGTTTTGTTGTGAATATCAGCTTTATTTCATCAGTTCCAATTAGAAGACCAACTATTTTTATTATATTTATGCAGTACTAAGTTTAACAAGGAGGAGTTGCTCATTAGTTTTTCTCCCTTGGTTTCAGGTGAGGGAAGAGGTTGCCCCGTTCTGCTCTGCGCTGTGCAGCCTCACCTCCAGCAGTGGATGTGGATTTGGGTGATACGGTGTAAGAAGGACATAAAACTATCAGAAAGTGTCAGAAAGAGTGCTATGAAGAGTCTAGAGGGCAAGAAGTATGAGGAACAGGTGAGGTCCCTGGGTTTGCTCAGCCCAGAGCAGAGGAAGTGAGGGGAGGCCTGATAGCAGCTGCAGCTCCTCACAGGGAGCAGAGGGCAGCGCTGAGCTCTGCTCTGTGTGACAGCAACAGGGCTCAAGGGAACGGCATGGAGCTGTGCCAGGAGAGGGGCAGGCTCTGCATGAGAGAATGGTGGGCACAGCCCAGAGCTGCTGGAGTTCAAGGAGCATCTGGACAAAACTCTCAGACATAGGGTTCAACTGTTGAGTAGTGCTGCATGGAGCTGGGATTTGGATTCGATGATCCTTGTGGTCTCTTCCAACCCAAGGTATCCTGTGATGCTGTTCGGGTCTGAGCTAGCATCAGATCGTAAACGCATAGAGCAATTAGAAGCAAGGTTGATGTGTATGACTGCATTATATGGAAGATATTTTTAAAAAGAAGAAAGAAAGAAAAAAAAAGACTATGATACACATTTGAGATAACGTAACTGTAAGAATATTGCAGGAAATAAAATATTTCCTGCGCTTCTCTGAGACAGACAGTGAGGTGCCTGGAAGCAGCAAGTCTTTTGCTGCCCCTACGTCTGTACAGCAGTGTAATGGCTTCTTCAAAGACTTGCCAATGTGGGAAGGGATTCACCTGCATAGCTAAAGCAGATGTGAACTGCTGACTTAGCAATGTAGGTTGCTCTGAAAGTAACACCTCCTATTTATTTCTGTGGAAATGACATCAGCTACATAGAGCACAATAACACTGTTTGATAGAAGGAATTCTCAGCTGCAAAACAGTTTAAAAAAAAAAAAAAAAAACAGCTAAAAAAAAAGAAAAAAGTTTTCTTAGTTACATATATTATGTATTTTATGAGGCCTAAGACAATTCCTCTTCACTTAGTGCAGCTCAAGTAAGCCAAAAGTTTGGACACCTATGCTTTAAAGGAAGACCAATTAATGATTTAACCTTGAAATAATCAGGTTATTGACAATTTAAAATGTTGAGGCAAAGATCTGTTGAGATGACATGGTCATGCTATAATATTGGGAAGGAATCCTCTCCTTAGCATACTCTTATTTTTAAAGCTGCTGGAAGACATACTTGCATACTATCAACATCTTCTCAAGTGCATTTATTCCAGAACACCCACATAAAATAAGGGAGAGAGATCTTATTTAAAAAGCATTACAAAGATATAACTATTGAATCCAGGCTGCCAGAGAGATTATTTAAGAAGGAAAAAGATGGTCTCTCAACCATAGGATAATGTCATGGGGATGAATGATTATCATGAGATAATTTTATTCCTGAGTATTGTAAATCTCAGCTGTTTTCCCTTCCAACCCCAGCTCCATGGAATATGAGAGTTTACTACAATTTATTCTCTGCTCTGTATTCAAGCCAAAGCATCTGGGTAGAAGCTATCACTTAAAAAATGCAACTTGTTTTCTTGGACCTTGCTGCTGATATGGTGTGTAAATTTGAGGTACAACCAAAAAGTACTACTTTTTTTTTTTTAAGAAGAGTGAAATTTGTGTTATCCAATTCTGATTCTTATTTGTGGGAATGAAGTAGCCTTCTTGATACCAACACTCACTCATCATTTTCCTTACTTGTTTTCCTTACTTAAGTCCTTGTTTGGCATCTGGCCAGGGAGAGAGATTATTTAAGTGTGTGTTCTTGAGGACTTCAGTATAAGAAGATTAGGTCCCTCTATCATAAAGTACAATTCAAAGCACTTAAATCCTCTCAATCCTCATAAGGTCTGTGGCATTCAAATATTTTAAAGTAGGTATTCAACAGTTTGTTGTTGTTTTATGTTGTTCTTCTTAGGAATAAAAAGGATTTATCATGTTGAAATTTTTTTATGATAATCTCAAAACTAATTGAGAACTGAGGCAGGATTTTTACTTCTATATTCTAACCCTCTGGCTGCAGCTTCCAAGTTTTTTTCTTCTTCAGAGTGCTTTGTTGTGAGAATAGATATGCACTTTGCTCTTACTGACAGCTGGTAACGCTTTACTCTTTAAACTCCAACTCAAGTATGGATTGGATCTGACAAACTGAAGGAGCGTTCACATCCTGATTCAGCTCCATCATGCTTTTTTTTTTGTGAGAAAGAAAAAGTAAAAATTTTTCAGAACCTGTAGCGTTTATAATAAAACAATGCATTATCTAGTATCTGGTTATCTGCAAAGTTTTACAGTATTTTCAGTTTAGCACACGTGCTAAATCTCACAGTGAACTGGAAAAAGCTAGACAAAGGAGAATCAGACTATTTTGATATCCATAGGTCCAGCCAAGACTGCTATTGTAATATAAACCCAATATTCTAGCTGAGTTCCCTTCAAAATAAATATGAAGGTGAGCGACATATGTCTCTGTTGTTCTTTCCACAAGTAATTGGACAACTATTGCACCTGGTTAATATGCTATGGGATAACAGGTCAGTTAATTTATCCACATCTACTGTAGCAACAAATGGAAAGCAGAAACTCATCCTCGTGGAAATTTATGTATGAAGTTTGTTTGCAAAGTATCCTTTATTAGAAGGATTGTAGGGGAGTGCTTAATATATGATATGCAGGAAAGACAATGACCTCCATGCTGCTTTATTTATTTCATTACTCTTACAAAAAAGAAAAGTTTAGCAGCTTACTTAAGATTCTTAGTGCTATGGAAGCATGTATTACTGAAGACAGAATATATTTTTAGTTGAGGCAACATCGCTGCCAGTTCATGGAGAACAACATTATATAATTCTTTGAGTATTGCTATCCTTACAATTTTCTTATTTAGTAACCTCATCTCTCCATTCTTGAAGTACCAGCATTGACTGAAATCTGAGATCACAATACAAGCAACTATTTTCTTTCCTGTGAAAGAGTAACAAGGTATAGTATAGTATTAGTATATAGTATTATAGTATAACTTAACTACAAAACAGATCAGTTCTTTTAGTAAAAGAGTGATCTAATGGAAATCTCATGTTCCTTTATCAATCGTTTTGCTTAATTTTGGTTTTGCTTATTTACGTTTTTTCTTCACCTTTCTGAGAGACGAATCCTCACAGAGGCCAATGCTTATTCAGACTCGTTGCCTGAGTGATTGGAAGTGAATATTCTGTTTGTAAATTAGAGCAGAATCTATCAAATTAGAGGATACCTTTTGAAAGGACTTATGTAAAACTTGTGATTCAAGGCTATGATATTACAGGGGAAAAAAACAAAAGTTTTATTAGTTTCACCTTCACCCACACAGAAAAGGACATTGATGCTCATATGTCATAAAACCAGAGAATAGCATGGATTGGAAGGGACTCTAATTCCAATCACTTGCTTTTGGCATGGCTGCTCCCCCCCTCACCTCCTCCCCGCAGCAAAGACTGCCTACAGCCACATCCAACCTGGCCTTGATCCCCTACAGGGACAGAGCATTCACAGCTTCTGTGGACAGCCTGTTCCAGCACCTCACCACTCTGAGTGAAAAATTTTCTAACATCAAGTCTAAACCTACCCTCTTCTAGTTTTAAATCATTCCCCCTTGTTTTATTGCTATCTGCCTGTGTAAAAAGTTGGTCTGCTTCTTGCCTATAAGCTCCTTTTAAGCTCTGGAAGGCTACACTGAGGTCTCCCTGGAGGCTTTCCATAGAAGAGATGTTTCAGCTCTCCGATCATCTTCATGGACCTCTTCTGGATCAGCTCCAACAGCTCTGCGTCTTTCTTGTGTTAGGGACAGTACCTATATGTACATACATTTGTGCATGTGCTGGAAAGAATACATAGCTGAGCTATGAAATGCAGTGACCTGTTTCTCTAAAACACATAATTAAAACAATGACTGAATTCCAAGGCAGGTTTTTAAGAGGGTTAACATCTCTAAAAGATTACGGTAAGGTAGATCAACCAATTTTCTGGTTTGTGATCTTTAAGTTAAACCTGAATAACAGTTACCAGTACTACCAGGACAGCTGAAATGGTATGAAACATTCAAGACTTGTTTATTTTATTACTCATGTATTTATTTTTATGCATGAGAGCATCTGACAAATGAAAAGTCCAAAAACTGGTATAACTGATGCTACAATACTGCTGCATACCGTGATGTTCACATGAAATAAATCCAGTTTACAAGTTCCAAGGAGATAAGCTATTTGCCCTACCATCAGAGGTACAAGTATTTAATGATATGCCAACATTTAGAGAAGTTCCATTGCCCCCTGCTTATGTAAAATGAGCTGTGTATGTCATAATAATTAAATGATTTTCTTTTACTCTTTTGGAAACTAGCAGCAAGCTCCCTCTAAGGAATGTGGAGCCTAGTCCAGAAAGTGGTACTTCTGTCCTGTCTCCAACATTATTGAAGCTGAGTGGGGAAAAGAAGGAGAAATTCAGCCTTCTCCAACTTCATACATTCCTGCAAGACAATAAATGCTGAGCTGCAACCGTAAGTAAGATGATGACTTAAAGTCATTGTTTATATTAATTTCTAGAACACATAAGGCAACCAATTTAAAAACATCTTTCCCAAAGAAATTTGATCTGAAAAGATGAACATTAAATGATCACAGAATTAAGAAGCAGGAGAAACACGCAGGAAGTCTTTCAAAGAATTAAGTCCTGTGAGTTATGGTTCGTCTACTTTTGGCTTCTTGGTTGTGAGGCCATGTACAGTGCTACTAGACAGTAGATAGTCCCGCCTATTGTGAGAGCCATAGTGGTCCGATAAAGCAGCTTATCCGGAACTCCTCGTTTCAGGTGTACAGGCAGCCCATCTGCTTTCTGTGGGAAGAGTTTAGAAATAAATAGAATGAAATAAACACTCATACAGAAGACACAATGAACAAGATACCTCAGGTGAACTAAGAGACTTTCCTAAGGAAAACCTCTCCTCTGATAGGTTACATACAATCAGATATACTAAGTGCTTTTCATTTAGCAAGATGAATGCAAAGCAAGTTAATTGTATTAGTTAAAGCCATTAAATGCAGGCAGAAAAAAATATATTGTGAAATATTTCTAAAGAGGACCTGGGTGAGAAAAATGTCACTAACAAAAGAATGTGGAAAGTTATGTAGAAAAGGTTATTCACCGAGTCAGACTGATATATTCCAAATGCAAGTGGCATGAAAGAGAAAAGGGTACGTTATAAAGCACATTTTTGATGTTTTTATTACCAACAAGAGAAAAAAAAATATTTTATGAGAAGACCCAGTACACTTAGAAATTGCATAGCTAACAAACTGGCTTTGAAAACCTTACTGTGCTTTTTTTTTAACACTGCATTAACAACAGAATCTGTAATATTCAACTTATTATACACAAAACAACTATTTGCTTTGCTCCTCCTGTTCTACTTGCAGTCATATGCTTGGATTCCAGATGTAAAGTGCTTCCACTAGTCAAATAAACATTTTTTGAAGCAAATGAAAAGATAAACTTACTAGGCTTTTCAGTTTCTGTATTTATTCCCCACGCAAGGCTGAGGAAGAAATACAAGTTATACTATACTTCCTTAACTAGAAAATTTTAAGCATTGTGGAATGATGGAAGTGGTCAGCCACGTTAAAATAGAGCAAGATATGGTTCACTCTTTCATTTTCTGTAATTTACTCTCAAAGTTGTCATTACCTGAAAAAGTTTCTGTAGGTCTGGCACCTGGTTTTTACCCAAGAAAGAATCAGTTGCTGGTAAATCTGAAGCAAGTTTAGTTGTTGTCCCAAAAACCAGAGCTGGGGATTCAGTAGAAACTATTGGTTTGAGTCCCTGCATAAATAAAGATTAAAATATAAAGGTATACAATACTTGTAAATGTACCAGTTGTCATGCTAGGCAGGCACACTGCCAGTCATTACAAGGATACATTACAAAAATATATATTTGGTATGAAGACCCATGGTTTAAACGAAACAAAACAAAAAAAAAAAGTGAAAATAAAAGACATTCTTAGCTACAACTTTGGACTTAGCAAGGATAACAGAAACTTTTTTTTTTTTAATGACAAATCTATAGCTATCATAAGCTTTTCTGGGTTGGTACTTGGCCCAAGTCATTCTGTTTTTGCATAGAGTACCAGGTCCTATCAGCAATAGGACTGGGAGCAGGGAATCCCCAACACTTGGGTCAGATGGAGCGAGGAGACTTCTAATTCTTCCTCCCACATGTTCCAAGCAGTTGCTATATAATTTAGCCTTAAATAATTGGAATGCATGGGTTGGAGAAAGAGAGAAGGGAAAGGAAAAAGAAAATGAGAGGGGAAAAAAAATGCGAGGGAGATGCAGGCTAGGTGTTTGAGGGCACTTAAGAAGCCCTGAATTGGTGGCTGTTTTACATAAGTCTAACAACACACCTTAATTTGTATACTGCTGCAGCTTTTCAACCCTCATGTACTTCTTATAAGGCAGCACAATTTAACTGCCTTTCAGTTCAGATGGCTGTACTCTGAGATAAAACCTACGTAATCCAGTTCGATGTACACTTAAATTTTAAGTGTACATAGTCATTGCAGTCATGAGGTGGCCTCCTTACCTTTATTGTTATATTTAGCCATTAGAGTTCAGCACATGACACTGATGTTTTACATTATAGCTCCTGAAACAACTGTGTTTGTTTTTTTCTAACTTGCCATAAAAAAAGACATAACACTATTGTGTTAACCTGCTTGTGTTAAACTTCAAATAGGAGTAATTGATCTTCATAGTGATCTGTGTTAGTATGTAGCTAAGGCTGCACCTGGAATTGTAGTTTCTGCTCAAAGGTCTACATGATACATTCAATATTTAACAAATTGAACAATATTTTGAGCTGAGACCTGAAACTGCTTATCCTGGAGAAGACTGAGAGGGGATCTTATCAATGCTTATAAATACCTAACAGGTAGGTGTCAAGTGGATGGGACCAGGCTCTTTTCAGTGGTGCCCAGCAACATAACAAGAGGCAACAGGCAAAAACTGGAACACAGGAAGTTCTATCTGAACACGAAGAAAAATTTGTTTGAAAGTGACAGAGCATGGGAACAAGCTGCCCAGAGAGGCTGTGGAGTCCCATTCTCTGTAGATATTCAATACACACCTGAATGCTTTCCTGTGCAACCTACTATAGAAAATCTACTATATCAGGGGGGTTGGACTAGATGATCTCCAGTGGTCCCTTCCAACCTCTATGATTCTGTAGTTTGTGAAGTCAGACTTGTATTATTTTATGCCTACATACCTGTAGATCAGGCATGTTATTTTCTGTACAGCTGTTTGCTTTGCTAGCGTGAATCCCAAGGCAGATTTACATTTTCCTGACAGCACAAAAGAGTTAAAGATTAGGAGCAGAACTTAATAGAAATAGCACCACACTTAAGTTTACATATGTTAGGGAAATTGGCAAATCTGAATCACAGAATGAGAAAATATAGAAGACCGAGGTAAGGACCAAAATAAAAAGGGAAAACTGGAAAGGAAGTTGAGAAATACTATTTTAAAACATAAACTGAAGTAATTCTTATGAACTTACTGAACCTAGACACTTTTCACATGAATAGCAGGTTCTTCACAGCAGATGATACCTTGTATGTATGAGGTTAAATCTGTTTGCTATCATTAACACAAGAATGCTTTTTGACTGGATCATGTAAAGCGATGGTGGCATTGCAATAGCAGACTTAAGTGATTCTGATCTACAGTATGAAAGGTTAAACATCAAGTTTCTCAACCAAGTCCGAGCGAATCACCCTAGTTAGATGATCTGTGGTTAGTGGATTTTTTTTTTAATTATTTTTTATTGTTTTTAGTAGGTACAAGCAAAGTAAGGTGTATCAGCTGAAAATGGAGCAGCGTGACAAAATTTCTACTCAGGCTACGGCCAGACTTGAAGAACTAGGTAAAAGCTATCAGGTAAGATTAGATGAGCATTTGCAAATGGTCCCATTACTACTGTTTTGAATATAAGCCCGTTGTCTGAGTGAACACTTTGTACTGTATATGTAATGGTCATGGCAGTCATTAACCTCTTAAATAGAAGCAGCAATTTTTAACCTGACTCCTCACCCGCACTGACTGAAAAAGTTCCATTTATTCAACTGGGCTGAATTATTCATGCTGTGTTATGTAATTTGAATAAGTGCAAAATGAAGACTTTTAAGAATGCTACGACTAAGAGAGAAAGAACGGTACAGGTCTCAAGCTAAGGGATTTTTTGTTAGTACAAGCAGCTATGTTACTGTCAGCAAAAGCCTTTCTGAAGTAATGAGTAAGCATCGTGCAAAAGAATGGCTGCTTTAATTTTCTTAATCTTCCTGTAAGCAAACTGCTATATCCGCCTAGTCTCTGAAACAAAGGTTGTGACGCTTTCAGTAGCTGCATTCTCCGCATGCACGGACCAGAGAGGCGGACGAGCGCAGCGCTGCTCAGCTGCCAGCCGCTACCCCGCACCGCCTGCAGGGCTCCGGGCTTCGCCTCCCGCCCCAGGCGGACGAGGGCAGCGAAGGTCACGGCCGCCACGGCGCTTAGGGCGGCGGCGGCAGCGCTGTTACCTGCGGGTTGTAGGCGGCGGAGGCCGCAGCCCCGACGAGGCGCTGCGTGAAGCCGTTGAACTTGTAGTACATGGTGGGCACGCGAGCTCTCACGACCCACCGGCGGCGACGCGCGGCGCGGAAGGACCCCGCCGGCGTGGAAGGACCCCGCCGCCTCCTGGACGCCGCCCGGACGCGCGAGGGCCCACGGGTGTCCGCAGCGAGCGCCTGCATGCAGCGCCCGGAGGAGAAGCCGAAGGAGTGAGAACAGAGCGAGGCCCGCGCGCGCGGCAACACCAGACTCGGTGCGCTGCGTGCCGCCCCGGAGCCGGGCAGGCGGCGGCCGTCAGGCACGGGGAAGGCGCCCTGAGCGGAGGCGGGCAGCTCTGCGCACGCGCAGCGGCTGCGGGCGGGCGTCTGTCGGGCGGGCGGCGGTCTCGAGGTGAAAGAGGTCGAGCGAAGGCGGCTCCGCTCCACAAACCGTGCCCTGTGTCTGCTTCGTGTGGGTGTGGGGCAGTTTGCTCTCAGCTTCTCGGTACTGAAAGCTTGCTGCTGTTATCCGCGTCTCACAGCGCAAATGCTTTTGCCCTGCGAATTGTCTGCCCTAGGCTGACTCCGCATAATAAAAGATGTTCCAGTGGTAATGCTTCGTGGTGATTGAGCTGTGTGGGACTGCAGGTGCCCCGTGGGTGCAGTAAGCACAGAGCGCAGTCCCTGCGGCACCAGATGTGCCTCTGAGGAGATGTCCTCACCAGGAAGGGTGCTGTTCCACTAGGTCCATCTCTGCTGTCCTCTTGGGAGCCAGGAGGATGCTGCAAGTGTGACACAAAACATTACTGACGGTATTAGGGGCATTAACCAGCAGTGCTGCGTTATTTGCTCAGTAGGTAGGAGATTTATGAAAGCATTTTGTAAATGTTACAGGAAGAATTGTGAAATCCCTGTAGCTTTAAAGACTGGGAAGTATTAATGAATCGGAATGAGGGCTGTATTTTTATTTTATTTATTTTTTATTTTTTTTGGTAGAAGGGATTTTGCAGCTCAGAATTCTGCTTATTTCTGGTAAAACGAAACTGGAAGATGAGCTTGACTGCAAATCTGCTTGTAAGAGAACAAAGATGCTGAAGATAGGATATGTGTGTTCTTTTAGAATGGAATCATTGCTATGTTTTTTATGCAAACTGTTTCAATCTGTTGATGTCCATTAGAGCTGGTTTGTACTGTGACTGCTGCAGACCCTTTCCTGGGGCCTGATTTTCTGCATGTGCACCATAGCTCCCCCTTCCCTGCTCTTTCAGAATTTGTGAAGACAAATAGGTTTGCTTTGCAAGCTCTTTTGCTAAAGTTGTGTCACATCTCATTCCTCTACATTTTGTTCCAGTGTGAACGCATACAGAATCTTGGAGAAGAATCTTGTGGCACCCACATATGGAGATGATGCCACTTTCTTTGCTTTCTTGAGTCCAGTTTTTTGAAATGTTCAGTATTGACTGAAAGCTACAGAAAGGAGCTCTGAGAAGGAAATGAAAAATGTGCAAATGCATCACTTTTTTCAGTTAGCTAATTTGAGTTATAATCCTTACAAGTGAGCTGTTGAAACATAAACCTAGGGGCTGTCTCTCTTTTGTTTTAGCTCAGAAAATGGAAGGTTGGGAATTCTTTGCCTTGCAAAAGAGATATATAGGAGGACAATTAAAATTAATTACAGTTGGAGCTTCCGTTGTCCTCATAACACAAAAGCACAGAAATATTCCCTGAAAAGGAAAATAAAATAAAGGATAATATGAAGCCTTTCCCATTAAAGAAAGAAAATTATTTGTGCTTTAGCCTCTTGGTCCAACTTTCTTTTAGTCTGTAGATGTTTGCTTATCAGACTTGTTGACAGGGTATGGAATTAGATTGTAAAACTACTGCTATAGGAAGTAACTGGGGATAAAGAAAAAGGCCACTCTCCCTAGCAGGGTTAGAGGAGGATGGGCGATTTCTGTGAACCATGGAAGTATGCACTGCTAATGTAAACAAAGTGTCCCGGCAGGAAGAGAGTTCCTGCATCAGACTTTAAGCTGAATTCTAGCTTCTAAGCAGTGAGATGAGCAATTCGTGGAAACTGATAACTACAGTCAGTCTGTTAGGGCTGTTTTACCTTCATCTGTGGAGTGATATTGGCAGAAGCTGAAGAAAATACTGGTCTACAAGCTATGCTGTAGTTTAATCTTTTCCATTTATTTTTCCAGGATTTTTTAAAGTAGCTGATTTCATACATGCAAATTTAAGGTTATGCCTCTAGGGGAATAGATTTTGGGGAGTAAATGGAGGAAGCAGAGTACCTTGAGGTTACTCTGGGTTTTTTGTTGATGAAATTGTTGTGTTTTTATTTTCAATTTGAGGATAAAATAAATAAAAAACCGAGACCTTATTCAATTGCTTAATGAACGACACCCTCGTATGCTGATCAATATTTCAGCACAGATGTCTGCAACTCAAATTCTGTGAATCTGCCCATGCAGATCTGTCCTTGAATTCCTGAGAACAACTGTGTGGGTGGATTTAGAACATAAAATTGCTGTGTGCACTTATGCTTTGTTTATGCAGTACTCATTTTTTAAAAGTACTAGATTGGATTTGTTTAATGTTTGCCTTGTGTATCTGTGTGTGTATATGTATAATATATACAAACCTCCGAACTAGATGATGATCACCAAACTCTATTAATGTAAGAGACTGTGACATTGTAAACATGTTGTCTGAATCATTATATCAACTGTAAGAAATAAATCCTATGCACAGAATGGTAATTTCAAGTAGTGACTGTTTATAAAAGCTACCTGAACTTATTGATGCTTTATTGCTCAATTTACTGGATACATCACGGATGACTCTTGGAAATACTGTTATTAGCTGAAAGAGTTCTCTTCAACAGACTTAACAATGTTGAAAATTGATTAAAATAGCTTTTAATTGTAAAACTATTCATGTAGTTACGAGTATAAATTTAACCGCATTTTTTGTGCCTTTCTTGTAGAAAAATTCTTGTGGTTTTTTTTTGTTTTTTTTTTTTTTCCTCATGAGGTATATAAGCAGAGAGCTATTTATCTTCTATGTGAGTTTAGAAACAATTTATTTCACTTTTGTGTCTTCTTGTGGGGCTTCTGCTTGAGAAAAACATAGTAGCAGTAGCAATTTTGGCAAAAATGACATTGTGTTGGCTATAGTGTATGAATGAGGAATCGTCTTAAAGGTGTTGAATTTCATTTAGGGGAATCTATCTCTTGTCATGTAAGATTCTTTTCGGGTTTTGAGACAGAACTTAACTCAAAAAGATAAGTAAGGAATTGAAAACTTGGTGATCGCAGAATCACAGAATGGCCAGGGTTGGAAGGGACCTCAAGGACCATGAATCTTAAACCCCCTGCCACATGCAGGACCACCAGCCACCTCATTTAATGCTAGACCAGGCTGCCCAGGGCCCCATCCAATCTGGCCTTGAACACCTCCAGGGATGGGGCATCCACAACCTCTCTGGGCAGCCTGTTCCAGCACCTCACCACTCTCTATGTAAAGAACTTCCCCCTGACATCCAACCTAAATCTTCCCTCCCTCAATTTAAAACCATTTCCCCTCATGCTGTTGTTATCAACCCTCTCAAAGAGTTGATTCCCCTCCCCTCTGTAGGCTCCCTTCAGGTTTTGAAATGCTGCAGTGAGGTCACCCCGCAACCTTCTTTTCTCCAGGCTGAACAAGCCCAGCTCCCTCAGCCTGTCTTCGTTGGGAAGGTGCTCCAGCCCCCTGATCATCTTCATGGCCCTCCTCTGGACCCTCTCCAACAGCTCCTTGTCTTTTTTGTACTGGGGGCTCCACACTTGGACGCAGAATTCCAGATGGGGCCTCACAAGAGCAGGGTGATCTAATTCTTGTAAAGCCCAGTGCTTGAATAAAGCTTCTGGGGCAATAAGTTATGCTTTTAGTAGTCTGTTCCTTTGCAATTGTGTTGCATGTTTAATAGCAGATTGGAAATTGTGAAAGCAGTTGTTTGTTCAAGGTTAGTGACAAAATATTGTTTAATTCTCCCATTTTCAGATGTGAAAAGCATTGTAGGGGCCTCCAGTAAGTATTTCTTTCTCTTTTTCCCAGCTTTGTTGTCTCTGCTTTTTATTTTTCCCTGTATTTTCTGAATTGCAGGACTGAAGGTAAGCTTTTCATCTGAGTGAGACATCCGTGTTCTCTGTCGTTAAAATAATAATTACCTAAACACCATATATACCTTTTAAAGAAAGTAATCTTGAAATTATTGTACCTTCTCTTTATGGCTTAAAATGCTTATCACTTTTGAAACACCGTGCTGAGAGACAGGATCATTTGCACTTTGCTTTTGACTGATGAAGACGACAGCACCTCAAAAGCACATCTGTGTTTTTCTACTCTGATACATTTTTTTCCTCTGTGACCAGAAGAGAAGACTCAGTGTGGCAGTAACTTAAATTATTTGGTCTTTTCTTTTAAATATTATGTATAGTGAAATAGGCACCCAAGTGAAGTGAGCTGTATCTTTGAACATTTAGTGGTAAAATTAATCTTCAAGATTTTTTATTTTTACTCAGTTGCCAAAATCTTCCTTCATCTCCCTTTTATCACTCCCTAGCCTGTGAGTGTTTATCTCCCAACAGTCCACAGCAAATGCTTAATTTTTCAGCTTTGTTGTAGATACTGGGAGGATGATGCATTGTCGTCGTATTTCATTTCTTCTTGTCAGCCTTTCCTTGTGCAAATACATGTAGACTGGAGTCCAGAGATGACTGTGTGTTTAAGCAATATTGCAGCAAATTCTCTAAATGAAGCAAGATAAACAAACAAAACAAAACAAACAAACAAACAAAAAACACAAAATACTCTGTGCAATTTGTGTAGTATGTAGCAGATAGACAATAGTATAGAGTCAAGCTGATGAAAGATTCTCTGCTGTTTCTCAGTATTAACAGCTAAATACCATTGTCTTGGAAACGCACAGGGCAATTTATAGAAAGTGGCTTGATTTGAGTGCATAAGTCTGTCACTTTATTGCCCCCTCGTAAGTCACTCACGCTTATGACTTTAATTATTATCAGTTGCCTATCTTATATGGTGTTCTGAAATACTTGAACTTAGTTTATCATTTCCCAGCAGTGACCAAGTCTAGAAGTAATCTGAAATAAACCTACCTGGAACGTACATGGTGTGGATGTCCAATCCTCAGCATCCACTGTTTTGTTCTGCACTTCACTCCATCACTTGTCTGCACTGCTTCCCACAGGGGGCATAACCTGGTAAGTTGTGGAAAATGGGATGTAAAGATGGATTTTCTAGATCCTGATGCCTGCCTAGAATCACCGCTGGTACCTCTAGGACACAACTCCAGGTACTGCCATGAGATAAAGCAATTGAGAGCTGACTGAACTCTTGCTGTACCCACTCAGAACGCCCAGCTTTGCTCAGATTATTTTTCAACAGGCTGTACTCTAATGGGTTTTTGTTTGGCTGCTTTGAAGAAGGGAAAATATAAAAAGGCACGCTTAAATTTAGTAATACTAATGTCAATTGTGTGGTTACTAGAGAAATCTTTCTCACAGAAAATGTTCTTGTTTTATGAATCATTTAGTACATCAGAGGTAACATAATAAAAATAGATTGTTGCCATGTGATCAGTGTCTCCAGCTTTGAAAATTGAA